GGTCTGACTCAACGGCACATAACAACAACAACAACATCTTCAGAGAATTAAGGAAAAAATTCTCTTCAGAGAATTAAGGAAAAAATAGAAAGTTCTCTCTCTAGCTTTCTATTCCTTTTCCTACTGTCCTCCCCTCTCCTTATCAATCAATTCTCAATTCCCAAGCAACACTAATTTATTTTTTTTCTTGCCGTTCTTTGGGGATATATGATTTCTTCAACAGTTTGTGTTTTCTGCTGAAAATATGTTTCTCAGCATATTTGCTGGTGGTCTAGATTTAGGATTTGGTCAGAGTTGGAAGACAGGATGTGGAGTGTTTCAGCCCAGGGGCACTGGAGCAAGACTGCCTGGATATGAATCCTGGCTCTGCCAGTTACCAGCTCTGCAACCCTAGGCAAATTATCTGACTTCTTGTTGCTTCAGTTTCTTTACCTGTTAAATAGGAATAATAATTATATCTTCCAAAGAGAGAAAACAGCTGGAGGCCAACTGCAGAAGTGACTATCAACTGCTCATTATGCAAGTTCAAGTTGAAGCTGAAAAAAAAATAAGTCCACAGGAGCCAAAGTATGACCTTAAGCATAGCCCACCTGAATTTAGAGACCATCTCAAGAATAGATTTAACACATTGAACACTAATGACCTACGATAAGAGACATTGTGGGATGGCATCAACAACATTATATATGAAGAAAGAAAAAGGTCATTAAAAAGACAGGAAAGAAAGTAGTAAAGACCAAAATGGATGACAGAGAGGATCAGAAACTTTCTGTTGAAAGTAGAGTAGCTAAAGCAAATGAAGAAATGATAAAATAAAAGAACTGAACAGAAGATTTCAAAAAGTGGCTTGAGAAGACAAAGTAAAATATTATAATGAAATGTGCAAAGAGTTAGAAAACTAAAAGGGTTGAATATGCTCAGCAGTCCTCAAGCTGAAAGAACTGGAGAAAAAATTCAAACCTTGAGTTGCAATACTGAAGGATTTTATGGGCAAAAAATTGAACAATTCAGGAAGCATCAAAAGAACATAGAAGGAGTACAAAGAGTCATTGTGCCAAAACGAATTGATTGATGTTGAACCATTTCAAGAGGTAGCATAGGATCAAGAACCAACAATACTGAGTAAAGAAGTCCAAGCACTAGAGAACACCAAGGCTCCAGGAATTGACAGAATATGAGTGAAGATGATTAACAAAAAGATGCAACACTGGAAGTGCTCACTCAACTATGCCAAGAAATTTGGAAGACAGCTACATGGCCAACCAGCTGGAAAGAGATCTATACATGTGCCCATTCCAAAGAAAGGTGATCCAAATAGAATGCAGAAATAATCAAACACTTAATTGTGCCCACGTAGAACCTGTTCATAGACCAAGAGGCAGTCATTTGAACAGAATAAATGGATAGATACTGCGTGGTTTAACATCAGGAAAGTTGTGTCAAGGTTGTATCTTTTCACCATACTTATTCAATCTGTAAACTAAGCAAATAATCTGAGAAGTTGGACTATATGAAGAAGAATGAGGCATCAGGATCAGAGAAAGATGTCACAAACTTGCTTGCTTAAAGTGAAGACTTGAAGCACTTACTGATGAAGATCAAAGATTCAGTGTGAATTACACTTCAACATAAAGAAAACAAAAATCTTCACAATTGGACCCATAAGCAACATCAGGATAAATGGGGAAAAGGGTGAAGTTTTCAAAGATTTCATTTCACCTGGACCCTAGCAGTCAAGAAACCAAATGATATATTGCATTAGGCAAATCTGCTGCAAAAGATATCTTTAAAGTGTTAAAAAGCAACCATATCACCTTGAGAGCTGTGATGTGCCTTACCCAAGTCATGGTGTTTTCAGTCACCTCATATGTACATGAAAGCTGGACAAAGAATAAGGGATACCAAGGAAGCATTTGTGCATTTAAATGATGGTGTTGGAACAGAATATTGAATATACCATGGACTGGCAAAAGAATGATCAAATCTGTCTTAGAAGAAGTACAGCCAGAATGATTCTTGGAAGTGAGGGGGGTGACAGTTCATCTCATATAATTTGGACATGTTATCAGGAGGGATCAGTCCCTGGAGAAGGACATCATGCTTGGTAAAGTAGAGAGCTAGAGAAAAAGGGGTGGACCCTCAACAAGATGGAGTGACACATTGGCTGCGACAGTGGGCTCAAGCATGGCAACGATTGTAAAGATGGCACAGGACCAGGCAGCGCTTTATTCTGTTGTACATAGGGTTGGTATGAGTCAGAACCAACTTGATAGTACCTAACAACAACAAAAAAATAGATCATGAGGATTAAGTGTATTAACACATGTAA